CAAATAAATAAATAAAATCTTAAAAAAAATAAAAAATAAAATCTTTAAATAGAGTTATATGGCCCATCCTTTTTTTAACCTTTTTTTTTGGTACTAGTTCTATCACTATGTTGAATAAAAAAACGTAATGAGATGTAAGGGAAGGGACTGATAAAGTTTAGGGGTCCGTGTAAATCTTGCAGGCCAGTGAACAAACCTGTGAACCATCAGCCAGCTTTTCCTTCCTCTCTACCTTTCTAAAAGAAATAAAACTGACAAGTGTTTGAAGACCCAAGTGGCAGACATCATGCTAAAGAACTCTAGCAACATTATTTAGTCATCCTAAAAACTCTTCAAAGTAGGTGCTGTTTTTTAGCTCAACAAATAGTTACGAAGCCAGTAGCTGAGCTACACAGATGTGCCTCCTGTCCTAAGTCCATGATTGAAACAACCCTGCTGTTTTACCCCTGTCCTTAGCCTCTGCTTTAAGTTCGCCTCTCTTCTTCCCACCATTGCTACCTTACCTTTCACAGTGATTTTACTGTTTATAAGCTGGATAGGGTTTATTTAAATAATAATTCAAATAAAGCTTAACTATTTAAATTATTCAGGGATCACATTTTTAGAATCTGGAGCTACATTCAAAGGCTTTAGGGAAAAAATGTGTCAAATTCTAAGACGAAACATAAAATGACACACCAAGAGGTTAGAAAATACTTTAGAATGATAGATAAGGAAATAAAGGCACATCCTGAAATAAAGTGTTTCTACTGAGTATCCTTCTCCATGCAATCCTTGCTAGAACCCAAAGAGAATAGAAAATAAAACTGAAGGTAAATTTAAAGAGGATAATACATTGTTAAAGGATGGTGACAATAAAAATGTTGCCTTTCCTTGGTCAAATTTTTGCATAATTTCAATGTCTTCCCCCTCCCCCACCTTACCCCCCACCCCGAGGAAACTCTTTTTTCCTGAAAACTGCTTCAGTAGATCATACATTGCTAACATAGCTAAATTTTATTTTGTTTCCATAGATGCATGATAAATCTGAAGAGCTCTGTGTAATAACATCAGAAAGAGACAATTTGTTTTCTGAAGTAGTTCAAAAGGAAAGTAGAATTCAAGATTTACTTGAAGAAATTGGGAAAACTAAAAATGACCTAGCAATTACCCAGTTGAATTACAAAAGCACTGATCAAGAATTCCAGGATTTTAAAAATCATCATATTGAATTTGAGCAAAAGTATAAGATGGTCCTTGAGGAGAATGCAAGAATGAATCAGGAAATAGGGAATCTCTCTAAACAAGCTCAAAAACTTGGTTTAAGTTTGGATGCTGTGAACACAGAGGTTGGTACAAGACACCCTCTAGGGAGCGATCTTTAACTTTCTGGGGTTTGGCTTCCATTTATATACCATAGAATGCTCTGCTTTTCACATTTACTTTTTCTTATTTTAAAGTTTTCTCCCAAATCTGAAGAAGTTCAGAAAACAACTGAGAGTCAAAAAAGGTTAAATGAAGTGGAAGAGCTGAAGGAACAGTTAGAAAGTAGAGATTCGAGGCTGCTAACTATGGAAAAGGAAAAAACACTGATCGCTGAGCAACTTCAACAAACTTTAGTAGAAGTAAGAACCTTAACCCAAGAAAAGGAGGACCTAAAACAACTCCAGGAGAGCCTGCAAATTGAGAGGGACCAACTCAAAAGTGACATTCAGGATACTGTAAACATGGTAAGGCTTTTACTGAGTAAACTCTGAAAATTCAGAGCCTCTTTACAAACAGGACAGGAGCCATCACTTATAATTCATGATCCGGTAGCCACTACAAAATTACTTCCACTGTTTCACATTATTCTAATGGACATTGTTTTCTGTTTCTCTGACAAAGAATATAGACACCCAAGAACAATTAAGACATGCTCTTGAGTCTTTGAAACAACACCAAGAAACAATTAACACACTAAAAATGAAAATTTCTGAGGAAACTTCCAGGAATTTGCATACAGAGGAAAACCTAGGAGAAACTAAGGATGAATTCCAGGAAAAGGTAAATGGTGTTTCCATCAAAGTTTTTATATATGTGTAGATGAGCTTTCTCTTTTACCTCAAACACTTAAGTACATAATGATAATCTCAATCTTGTTTATTATTCACAGTGCTAATAACTAACAATAATTTACAAACATAAACCTGATGTCTTTGAAATAACTTGAGATATAACTGCTTACAATCGATTTGGGAAAAAAAGGCAAAAATTAGTTCAAACTTTAAGCTGATATTTTGAGGCCTAATGTATTTTAAATGTCTTTAAAAACCCTTCTGAAGGGGCGCCTGGGTGGCTCAGTTGGTTAAGTGACTGCCTTCGGCTCAGGTCATGATCCCAGGGTCCTGGAATCAAGCTCCGCATCAAGATCCCTGCTTGGCCGGAAGCCTGCTTCTCCCTCTCCCACTCCTCCTGCTTGTGTTCCCTCTCTCGCTGTCTCTCTCTCTCTCTCTGTCAGTTAAATAAACAAATAAAATCTTTTAAAAACAATTTTAAAAAAATAAAAATAAAAACCCCTCTGAATTCTAAGAAAGTTTGCTTATTTTTAACTATGTCTAAAATATTTGTTTTATGTCAGATTTTATATATTAAACTTGCTTAGAGATCCCTATGAAATCAATGTGTATATTTTATTTATGCCTGTTTCTAGGGCTTGTGCTATAATTTTTACTATTAGGTGCTTAAATCTCACCTTAATTTATTCTAAGTAATATGGTTCATTTTGTCCTGAGACCTTGGGAGAATAAGGTCTTAACTGGTTATTTAATTATATACAACAAACACTAGGAGATGCTAATGATGTTTGTTTTGTTTTATTTTGTTTTAAGAGAAATGTGTTAGTCCACTAGGGCTTCCATCACAAAATATCACAGACTGCTGGCTAAAACAACAGAAATTTACTTTCTCCTAGAAGTCCAAGATTAAGGTGCTAGAAAATTTAGTTTCTGTTAAGTCTTCTTTTCCCTGCATGCCGATGGAACCTTCCTTCTGTGTCCTCACGGGGCCTTTCTCCTGTGCTCAAGCTGAGAAAGAGCACTGGCGTTTCTTCCTCTACTTAAAAGGACACCAATCCTGGGGCACCTGGGTGGCTCAGTCGATTGGGTGACCAATTCTTGATTTCAGGTGAGGTCTTGAACTCAGGGTTGTGATTTTGAGCCTCACATCTGGCTCTGCGCTGGGCATGGAGCCTAATGAATGAATGAATGGATACCAATCCTATGGGATTAGGGCCCCAGTTTCATGACCTCATTTAACTTTAATTATCCTCCTTAAAGGCTTTATCTTCACATACAGTCACATGGGGGTTAGGGCTTCAAAATGAATATTGGGAAGGCAAAATTCAGTCTGTAACAGGTGATTGCCTATAATTTTAGACAATGGAATCATTTACTATATACATTTCTACTTTTCAAAAATGCCTTTGATATATATTATCAACAGGATTTTTTATACTGCCTTTCAATTTTATGCACTTAATACTATTTATTCCAGAATATTTGCTACTAGGAATTTAAAACATTCATCAGTGGGAGACTGGTGAAATAATCTTTCACACATCCATAGCTTGACATAGTATATGTATATATAATATGTATGTATGTATATAGATAATGCAACTGGGTTTTATGTGGTCATAAAATTTTTTAAAATTGCATATTATATGCAAACAGAAAAATCAGATGGACATATTATTAAATAAAAACAAATACTGCTTCAGAATAATTCAGTAAGCTCTAACTTATATAAATAAATATCTATATAGATTTATATGCTATTACTCTATATAATGAGCTTTTTTTCCCCATTTACCCTGGGGTACAGTATTCTTGCCTTGGAAAAGCTTTCCCTCTCTCTCCCTATGCTTCAGTACTTCTAGAAAAGCATTTTCACTTGTTTTATATCTTGTGTTCTCAGCTTATATGTAGTTTGGATCGATCAAATGAGCCAAAGGCATTTGACCTTGATTTGAAATTTATAACTTTCACTTTCATTAGGGGAAGGTTTTTTGAAAAGATTTTTGAAAATAAGATACAACAATATTTAGCTGCTTTTAAACAGATGCAAAAATGCAATTATAGGGCCCCACGAGAAGGGGCAATAGCAGAGGAGTGAGGGAAAAAGAGAGTTCTATTCACTGGGACCAGCTGGTGTGTGGTATTAAGTTTATGCTAGAATCATCTATGTTGATAGAAAAGGTCCAACTAGGGCTTTTCTGTTTCTTGGGGTGTCTCAAATCTGGGATGGAAGGCTAGGATCAGCTTAGTCTTCTGTTACCGTGTTCATAATGGAATCCCACATGGACCCCTCTGTTCATCTGGACCCCAAGGGGCTGCATTAGTAGGTCTCTCATGAATCCCCTTAGAGTGCCCACTTTATTTTTTTATTATGTTAATCACCATACATTACATCATTAGTTTTTGATGTAGTGTTCCATGATTCATTGTTTGCGTATAACACGCAGTGCTCCATGCAGAA